TCTATTCACGAACAGCTTGTAACACTCCAAAGAGAAAGGAAAACTTGAAATCGCATCATGTGACCCCTTTAAAGGGGTCATGAACTGCCTTTTTGATTATTTTTGTACTGTTCTCTGAGGTCCACTTATGCTGTTATCATGATTTTTACATTGAAAAACATCATAATTCAGAAGTAATAGACTATTTTCTGTCTTGTTTTGACCCCCTCATCTGATCGCTCTGTTTGAATAGGTGTGGTGGATTGTAGACTCAGAAGTAAACGTTCACAGCTGTGATTGGCTAACAGTTGTGTGTGTTTGACAGCTACATCCTTCACAGATAGACGCTGCTGTGATTTAGGTTAAAAACGCATAAGTACATATCAAACGATCTGTAACAACAGACAAAGCAATAGTGAGCACGTAAAAAAAAACGTTACTCACACTTATGTGGTACGACATTACCGTCGGATCCAATATAATCTCACAACATCATCTTTTAGTTTCAATCTTTCTGAAAATCCTGTGACGAATTGTGCGTTGTTTATAAACAAATCCGCGGTAAAATGAGATGAACAAACGACCAATTTCCCCCCAAATCTTGCAGCCCTACTTATTTTGTAAAAACATGTCTTGATTATTTTTATCTAGGTTTTTACTATAGTTTTTTACTTTTAGATTAAACATGTTGAATCTACGAATCTGTTTAAAAAAAGTAAAGTCCGAGCAAATGCATAAATATCTAGATCGTCAAGGCTGAAAGATGCCAATATATATTTTTTCGTTATATATCGGCCAGCCCTACAGGGATGCATTCTGCTGTGTGCGTGTGATGAATTGTAGTTTCTGTAATGTCGTTTATTTTCCGGTTCAGTTCGGAAGTGAGACGGAGCAGCTGGAGTGGGCCAAACGCGAGAGCCAGAGAGAGGAGGTGGAGCGAATCCGGAGGCTCCGCCTACAGGAACAACTGGACCTGGAACTGGCTCTGGCTCTCAGTCGAGCTGAAATGCCCAGAACATGAAGCTGCTACGTTTTGGATTCAATCCTTCAACTTTCAGATGAAGCTTTTGCCCCAATCACACGCTCTTCCTGAAGATCTCTCTCAGGTTTGCTGTAGTGATCACTGAACCAATGAAGTACAACAAAACCAAAGGCCATAGTTACAGATCCACTTGACACATTTGCTCATGAACTGCACAAAATGCTAAACCACTGAATTATACTTTATAAAGATTATATACAGCTTCACCAAATACTGTAGGACCAGTCAGTCTTAAGTCAATTATTGATGCACAGAAGTATATAAGAAATATCAACCTCTATCTGCAGCCAATGTCGGTTTTGCAAAGCAGATTCAACCCCAAGTGCTTCATATTTAAGTGTCTTTAGGACTTTTGACTATGATCAAATTCATCCAAGTCTTAACCAGACGTTTGGTTTAATAAGAGGGATGAATTACTAAAAGCATGACATTTAGTCGCCGTCAGTCCACTATATGATCATATATGATGTCTGTATTTACATATAAACCTGCATAATCAATGCATTCCCAAATCTCATTTGCCCTCCAGATACTGTTGAATATTATGAGTTTTATTAGATGCATGAAGATCAAATGAAGCATATTCTTTATTCTTGAAGGAACCTGTTTTTATTTGTGTTTGGCACTGTTGAGAGTGAGATGATGTGAGCTGTATTTTTTGTGTTTAACCCTTTAAAGCTTGATCAGATCCTCTAGATGACACCGGATCACACAAACCAGCACCCCTGAAGGAGCTCTGCCCACTTTCATAATGTTTTAACCCTTTTCTAGCCTTTTCTTAAAACACATTTTGCCTTGAAGTGAAGCCTTATACTGTATATTGAGCTTGTTCTTATTATGTATTCATATATTTATTGTATCTGTGATACTTTACCATAAAATTAGCAGGTTATGGGTTGTTTATATGCTAGAGAAGGTCATTCTGGTGTTTATATGGGTTTGATTTTCTCTTTTAGCATTTTGAAGATTCTGTTGACCTTCCATGTTTTTATGCGTTTTGGTTCTTTTGTGGAAAAAGGTTCAAAATGATTTTATTGTGCTGCTTTTCAATGTTTTAATAAATGTCAAACATATTTATCGGAATGCACTAGAGAGTTTTTATTTTCTTTAAATGAAGAAATAAATATACATTTTATTATAATAGATTATTTTATTATTTCTGTTATAAATATTGTTAAATTGTGTGTGTGTGTGTGTGTGTGTATATATATATATATATATATATATATATATAATTATTTTATTTTTGTTTTGGGGATTTTTTATTAATTTATATTTTAAAGAATATAAACCTTTGAGACCATTAAGGTAAATATTTTTATTTTAAATGTTGGATATTTAGATAGACATTAGATATTTATGCATTTGGCAGACGCTTTTGTCTAAAGCAGTTTATTGCATTCAAGGTTTACAGTTTATCAGTTTATGCATTCACTGGAAATTGAACCTATGACCTTGGTGTTGCATGATCTACATGATCTGGATTGCAACTTTGAATTGAAAGACAAATATGAAATTAAGAAGCTGCAGTCTTCAATATCTGCTTTTAAAATCTCCCAGTTAATAGTGAGTTTCTGCCATCAGTTCCACCGGTTGCCAGACGGTTTGAGCTGCATTCAGATCAGATCCGTCCGTGTGCACCTGCTACACTTCATATCTACTCATGTTCATGTTAGCGGCATCTAGAAACTGAGCTTAACTGTTTCTATTCATGCCAAATCTAGTATGTGTTGTACTTGTCCTGCTGTGCGGCTCTAATGATGGATGAGCATCCTGTACGTCGTGACGTTCGGCATCAATGAGCGACTTTTGCGCATCTATCAGACGTTTGTCTTTTGCAAATGCTCTGTGAACGGCTTCAGCAAATTGCTGTTTTTCCTGGATCTGTCGAGTAACACAAGCTTAAAGAATGAAGCTCGAGCTCAAGCCGGACTGAAATGGAGTCCTTGGAAAGATTGAGATCTAAGTGTGAAAATAATTGAACAGCTGCATGAATTTTAGCTTCGGTATGTTAATTACCCCCACTTGGAATAACAGGAAATTCCTCTGTGAGTTTTGATTTACTGAAGGCTGCTGAAAGAGCTGGTTTTAAGATGGACAAATGAGAAGGGCTCAGGTGACAGAAACATAAGGCTCCAGCTCTTTCCTCATTTGTGTTTTTCTGGCTCTTGATCGCTCACCTACTTAACCGTCCACATGTGCGCTTCGTTTGGAGGCCTTGCCAGACATTCTTGTCTAGTCTTTGGATTTAGTTGTGGTTTTAGTGCTGAGTGGTTAAATGGTGGGGTCAGGAATTACTGACCAGCATGGATGTGTTCAGAGCAGCACACTATATTGCCATATACAGTACAGCAGTGTTTCTCAACCAGGGGTCCGTGGACCCCTAGTGGTCCTTGACGTAAGGCCAGGGGGTCCATATAAAGTATGAATTTTTGTATAAATTTTGTATATTTTGACAAAAAAATCCAATATAGCTGATGATATGGCCAAATACTGGACAAGTCAGCTAACTTGAATTATACTTGACTGTATTTGGTCCTCACAAAGACACACAAATGATACATAGATGAGTCAATTTTGTTCTGGGGGTCCTTGAGGATGGTTCTGAATTGGACTGAGGTCTGGTATGCCAAAAGGTTGAGATTCACTGCAGTACAGTACTCCTAGAGCGGTTTGGAGTATAAATACTGAGCATAGCGTGCCTGAATAAAGCAATGCGCTTGATTTGACCTTTCATTTCCAGGTTTATATCTAATTTAAATCGAATTTATAGTTATGTTACACCATTCTGTTTTTATCTCACAATTTAGAACTAGTTCTTAGTTTATAACTCACAATTCTGACCTCATTATTCTGAGGTTATATCTTACAATTCTGATTTTTTTCCCACAATTCTGACTTTTTTCCCCCTGCAATTCTGAGTTTATCTCATAATTCTGACTTTCACAATTCTGAGATTATATCTCGCAATTCTGACTTTTTTCACAATTCTTAGTTTATATCTCATAGTTTGGATTTTTTTCACAATTCTTTAGATTATTTCTCGCAATTCCGACTTTTCTTCATGCAGTTCTGAGTTTAGATCTCGCAATTCTGATTTTTAATCTCCAGATATAACCTCAGAATTGCAAGAAAAAGGTCTGAATTGTGAGATAAAAATGACCTTTTCTATTTTTTTTATCCCATTGCGGAAACGAGCTTCCATACTTTCATAATCAGACTGCCAAAAGTAAAGACATTTTTACACAAAATTGGATTCAAAATTCAACATTACTGTATTTATCTGCATGAAGTAAATTCAGTGTTTTGTTTAAAAAGTGTCCTTGCATATTATTTCATTGCATGTTGTTTTAAAAATAGTTGGCAGTATTTCTCATCTCTAATAGACTAGTTCTTGTATAGAAGGGGATCTTTATTTCTACTTTGAAATCTGTTGAATTGCAGTAATCATAGTAAACAGCTTTGCTTTGAAGGGGAAAAAGAGAAGCTTGTTTTTTTTTCTGTTCATGTCAGATTGGTAGTAAAAGTTACTATCATAAGCACACAAAAGTGAAATGAGATTTCTGCTTCACCGAGTCACTAATAATAGTCAGGATCACATTTCTTCTTTTTGTCGAATTTGCATAAAAGGGAACTCTAGTGCTGTTTTCACACATTATTCACAAATGCAGAACAAGTTCAACTCTTGGAAAACAAAAGCACAGAGCTGGATGCTTTATTTAGACATTCAATAGGAATTTAAAATACTTTGTATGCACATAAAATTAATACATTTATTTATTTAGTCATTTATCAGACGCTTTTATCCAAAGCGACTTACAAATGAGGACAACAGAATATACTTTTATATTTTTATATATTTTTATGCATACTATATAATTGACACTTGCATATATGTGCTTTCTGATTTATATTTAGTATGCACATCGTGTGCAAATTATATATATACTGTATATATATATATATATATATATATATAACAAATTTTTGAACTGTAGTCTAAAAACTATGTACCACATGTGCTGTGCTGCTGATTAACCACTCATCCCTCAGTGTCTATAAATGAACAGGAAACATATTTACAATAAAGACACTAATGAAATCTTGCAAGCAAGAATGTGGAATGTGGAGCTCATAGTTTAGCTCAGGAGTTGTTCAGTAAAAAATGTTTGTTACTTGAGGTGTTAATATAATAATGATTCTAACATAACACTAAGCCAAACACCAAAAAAAAACAACTACATATGTGTATGTACAGCCACACACACACATACATATATATATATATACACATTTATAAATGAAATATATTATGCCATTTCCATTTAGTTTGTTGAAGTATTAAAATAACTCAAATTAA